AAAGAAGATGAAAGTAGCCAAAGGATGTGGCTCTAGTTCTGTTGCCATTATAGTTAAATGTATGTTTCTCATTCCAATTTATAAAACACAATTTCACCTTCTTGAGCATCCTTGATATCACCTCCAATACTTCACTGTCAGTCACTTTTACAACTGAGTTAACATGATTGCACCTGAGTTAAAGTGTTTAGCTAGAGGTAAAAGCAATCTGCAGGGCTGCAAAATAGAAGAGAAACATTCCCAGGAATGGGTAAAACATGTCAACATTGCAGAAAGGTTAGCTTGACTAGTGGAGTATCAAGGCCGTTAACTAGGAGAGAGGATTGACTCCTGTGACATCAAAAGAGTGGCAGGAATAGGGAGATGATAATGAGCCATGAAGTCAGTTGATTCTCAGCACTACCTGGATAGAAATGCTGCTACCCCTCCCAGGCAGTTGGTTTTAAAGCTTGGGTAGAGCAGGAATCACTGCAATCCCCCCTCTACTCGCCCCCCACCCCCAGATTTGCCTCTGCACAGGTCCCTTGGGTACCCCCATGCCCACAGGCAGACATTGCATGTTATTAGCCTTTGAAATGCCCCTTGGTTTTCTCCTTCCCCCCCCTTCAGCTATGAAGTGCAGCTGGAAAGCAAAGTCCGGCGGAAAGGTCTGGGCAAATTCCTTATACAGATCCTGCAGCTTATGGCGAACAGGTGAGTAGGAAAAAGCCGAGACGTCTCATAAATCCTCAACACTTCCTCTACCTTCAGTCACAGGGGAGTCTGGGGCCCCGATCGGTGTTTTTTGGGCTGCAGATACAGTGATCTGACAGCCTTCGGCTCTTACGCTGTATGATCCTAACCTGGGATCACACAGGAGGCACCAGTAAGGGGGTGGAAAAGTCACGATGGCTGCACGTCTGTCTTCCCGGAACTCTGTTGTAGCGTTTGGGGCATTTGTCTGTTCCGCTGGGACTTCTCCTCAGCCCTACTGCCCCAGTCCAGGCGCACACAACCAGTTCAACTTGACAGCAGCAGCAGGGATCTGTTAGTTGAGAGCCGGGGTGGCAACGGTACAGCTGAATCCAGCCTGTGGAGCCCTTTCACCCTGGGCCTCCAGGGGAAGTCAGGACTTTGGGACAGGGCAAGTGAACTGTGCTATATACCCTCCCCCACCAATGGCCATTTACCC